GTAATTCAGGCGGATGGGGAGTTAGATGCGGATGTTGGACATCGGGTTGGAGTGGCTTGGGCCAAATGGCGGTTAGCTTCAGGGGTGTTGTGTGATCCGAAGATTTCGCCTAGAATTAAAGGTAAGTTCTATCGATCCGTAGTCAGACCTGCTATGTTATAAGGGGCAGAGTGTTGGGCGGTTAAGAAGACTCATGTGTGTCGTCTGCATGCGGCGGAGATGCGGATGTTACGATGGATGTGCGGGAAGACAAGGTTGGATAGGATTTCGAATGAGGTTATCCGACGTCAAGTAGGTATGGCACCGGTGGAAGACAAGTTGCGGGAAGCGAGGTTGAGGTGGCTTGGCCATGTGAGACGGCGGGATGCTGACGCCCCTGTACGGAGATGCGAGAGGATTACAGTTATCGGGGGAAGTAGGGGAAGGGGTAGACCTAAGAAGAATTGGGAGGAGGTGATAAGACAGGATTTAGGACTTCTCGACCTGACTGAAGATATGGCCCTAGATAGGAACCTTTGGAGAACTAGGATTAGAGTAGCTGGATAGGAGCTCGGTGTTGTAGAGGTTGTTTTGTATTGTGTTGTATTTGTTGGGAATCTTTTGCTATTGTTTGTATTTGTTGCTTGTACTTGGTGCCTTATCTGTGCAATACTGTGTTCTCTTCCATATTTTTGTGCAGGTGGAGCCGGGGGTCTCTTGGAAACAGCCTCCCTACTTCCGAGTAGGGGCAAGGTCTGCGTACACACACCCTCCCTAGACCCTACTGTTGTGGGATTCAACTGGGTTGTTGTTGTTGTTGTTGTTAACCAAAGGGTAGTTCCAAAGGAATAAGAGATGATAATGGATTAATATGAAATGACCAGTAAATGAATATAGTTAATAATAATCATTCAAAAGAATTGTGAAGAATGTAGTAGTGCATTAAGTAACGAATACCTTGAAACATTTTGATCTTAGCATATTGGATCACAATGACCGCATGTTCAAACATTTGTTTATTAAAGAAACTTTTAAACATCTTCACATATTCCCCAAACATGGTAACATCCAATTTCATGCTAATTTATCAAAGTTTAAAACAACTTTCATTATACATCCTTTGAGATATATGATTATGATCTATAAAAGTAAGGCAATAATATAATACCCTCATGCCAATAAGTCAATAACCTCACCTTCTTCAAATAGGCAAGGTAAAACTACAATTATTTCTCTTGTTCGAATGTCAAATATTTCTAAAATCTGTTTCTACTCAGTAAGTTACTTCTCAAAATTGAAATTTGAAACCACTCCTCGTTTTCAACAAAATGCTTATAAAGAAAAATGTCTATCATTACTTTTCATCATCATTTTAACCATTCTTGAATTTAATCCATAAGTGAACTCCAGCAAATATTTAAATATAATAAACTATCAAAGGTCAGAGAAGAAAATTGAAAAGAAAAAAAAACTGAATAAACCATAAAAATGTCAGAGCATATAAACCAATGCGCAAAATCAATTTATGTTGGCTCAAGAGTTATGAAATATAAAGCTTGCCAAATTGTGAAAGAAAAATCATCTCAGCTTCCAAAGATTCAAACAAAGGAAAACACTAATACACGAAATAGGGGGTAAATTTCACAAATGGTACCTGAACTTCAAATTCTTTCACAAAAATCCCTGAACTTACACAATCCATTCACTAATGAGCCATTAGCCCGTTTCTAGGTTAACTTCCGGTCATTAGGGCCAAATTCGAATTTTATATATTTTAAAATTTTCAATTTGACCCCATTTCTTCTTTTCTTCCGATTCCAACGGGACCAATGTCATTCTCTTCGTCTTGAGACGAGGATCAATAATATCCAAACCATTTTGTCTAATTTGGCCTATAACTTCCCGAATCTGAATTTTTCTACTCGAAAAACTCTAAAATTCGAAATTGGATCCAAAATTGGGGGTTTTGCAAATCTTCATCAAATCTTGCAATTGAGAGGTCCTTGGAGGTCGCCCGGATGCCACGACCGCATTGGTGTTGGTGCCCGCCGTCAATTTCGCCGGAGTTGGCCGGAAAACGCTCCGACCCGCCGGCGGTTTCCCAGTAGATATTATTAAATCCTATTTAGGGAATAAAAAAGTTTTAAGTCCTACATTAGAAAATAACTTATGTTTTAGTCCAATTCAGTGCAAATTTTACATTAAGAAATAGTATTATGTTTGTTATTAGAGTAATGCTAGGGGTACACCAAAAGTGACCCCATTTGTTCCCCACACTCTTCTCCACCACCCATTTTTATCTACTTTTTATTTATTTAATTTTTTTAAAATTTTTGCCCATTTATGTGGTAATGGAGGTGGTGGGGATAAATGAGTACACTTTTGGTGCACCCTAGCATTTTTGTTGTTATTAAGCGTGGTGCATTTATGATAGTACTAAGAATGCATTTTAATGCAAACACAGCGTTGAATGATCGTTGTGCTCTGATTGATTTTTTAAAAAGAATTTAGATGATTGAGATGAACGAGTGTAATTGTGTAAAATAATACTCCCTCCGTCCTATAATGTTCTTCCCATACAGTTTTTACCTGGTCAAACTTTAATCACTTTCTTTACCTATTTTCATGAAGTATTTGATAAAATAATATAGTCTTGTCACCACTTGTTTTGTAGAACTTTTGATGTAATTTTTAAATATATAAATTTTATTTTTTAATTTTACAAATACAATCAAATAAATTGAATTGAAAATAAAGTCGGTCAAACTCCGTAGTTTTTACTTGCATTGCATCATAAGCGATCTTGCATAATGTGTTCATATATGATTTTTTAATTCTTATTACTCCATGATTTCTAGTGCATTAGTGTTTTGGAAAATAAATAACTTATTGAAATTTTTATATGCATTCTAAGGGATCAGGGGATCACATAGTGTCCAGTTTTTTAAAAATTAATTTATTACCTATTAGCTCAAATGGTAGAATACTATGCAATTGTATATACATGTGAATTCGAATCTCATATAAGCGCGAATGAGAAAAAAATTCTTAAACGATTCAAAATTGCAAATGAACTAAATGCAAACAAATAAAGTCTTCTTATTGAAAAGATTATTCTTTTAAAAGTTTATACAAAACATTTTAATAAAAAAAGGGCATTAACCACTTCTAATGTAGAGCAAGAAGACCTAGCACAATCACTGCTTAAGTGCTAGAATGGTAGAACACTATGCATATGCATAGAGATGTGGGCTCACATTCTGCATAGGTAAATCATTGTTACTTTTACAGTGACATCATACACTATATAACCAATGCTATATTAAGTTCCTTTTATTTGAGAAGTTTTATTTCGTAAATATTCAAAAAAGATAATGCTATTTGTATCATATAATTTGTGCCTCATTTGTACACCAAAGGTACGTGCCAAAATAATATTCGTGCATCCATGTGGTGTACAAAATGGGGTACAAATTCTTGAGATACAAATAGCATTATCCTTCTTGAATATGTATGAAATAAAACTTGTAAAATAAAAGGAACTTAATATAGCATTGATTATATAGTGTATGATGTCACCGAAAAAGTAACAATGATTTGCCTATGCAGAATTCGAACCCTCATCTCTATGCATATGAATACTGCTCTACATTTGAGCTAATAGATAATATTTTAAAAAAACTATTAATACATAAAAACATATTTATTCTTGAATTTTTTTAGGTTTTGATAATTGACAAAGGCAATGCAGAACGAGAATTTATTTTCGGTTCAAGAAAGCGAAGAGGCACATCAAGAAATTCACGACCACAATTTTTCGGCATTCCAAATTTCCTACACAAGATTTCGAAGTAAAGAGAAGTTTTTCAAAGACTTTTATTATAAATTGATTATGAATTGAGATTCAATTTTTCGGCATTCCAAATTCCTACACATGATTTGATTATGAACTAAGATTCAATTTATATGGATGTTCGATGCATTAGATATGCTTACTCAGCTTCAATGTTGAACGTGTAGTATGTTTTATTTGCTACATGCAGGTTAATATAAAGAACGATGTGACGTGGTCCTTGAGGCAGACGGGTGTGAAAGTGTCGGAATGGATGTGATGATATAGTTTTGAATTGAAGAACATAAATAAACTATGTTTGATTTGTTAAGCTTTCACAATATTCAAAACTCTGTATTGTTATGTTATGAAAAAATATTATGGTAATAAATAAAAGTATTTGAAAAGTTTTGAATTTTACGATTACCAAGTTAATACTTTAATCCGAAAGGGTTGCACACCTGGATTAGGGCAACCATGACGTTAAACACCGTTCCCGGGGGCTTCCTCAAGACGTTAGTGCTCATGCGTCAAACATTTAACGGGTGAAGGAAGCTTTAATGCCACGGGCCCCCTACATTCCAACACCTATAATGCTGTGATGTCTTTTAAAAAATCATCTTCTATAGATTCCTTCTCTTTTTAAAAAATTAAACATACTTTCTCTGTCCCACTCTCTTTGTCTACTTACCTTTTGGCATATCATCCAATATACTTCTTTAATTCATTTTATCTTGTAATTTGTATATTAAAAATTTATAGAAATTATATATTAATAATCTATATGTTAAGACAAATCAAACAAGATCACACATGACTATATTTAGGCTTACATATTGAGAGAATTTGATGAGTCAAAGTGCCAAAATGAACAGTTCCAAAAGTCAAAAGTGGACAAAAAGACTGAGACGGAGGTAGTATGTAATAAGACTAGATCTCGCAAAATAGAATCGGAACCGGTTAACCACACCAAATTATCTGGAGTCAAAATCAGATGATCCGAAAAATGGAGATGCAATCTATAATCGAAAACCCAAAATGATCCAAACCGAACCGAAAACTGAACTAAATAACTCATATCTAATTTAAATCCGAAAAGAAAATTTCAAAATTCAAAATTCATTAGACAAAATTTCACATCATTAGCAAATTTCAAAATTCATTAGACAAAATTTCACATCATTAGCAAATTTTTGTTTAATCGGTTCAATAAATACATCAAGAGAAAGAACCGAAAAGAAAACCCTTGAAAAGTAATAATTGCAGTCAACACTTCTAACTACAATTACAACTACCTACAAATGGATCTCAATAATTAAATTAAACGGCTACCCTATCTAATTAACTAAACCAAATCACACAATCTGATTAGATTACATAATCATCCTGGACATCAATTCCAAAATCAAATGCATGCAAACCCTTCATAATCACCAGTCCATGTAATCAAACCCCCCACTGTCACAAAATTCCTCAGCTATCTCCTCACGTAGATCGCCATAGAAAGGAGGGCCTTTAGATTCCAGAATATGAGAAGCATCCACAGATTGAATCAGCCCATCCTCACCAAATGCAAAAACTACCTCCAATGCCCTACAGCGAGGATGGAAGAATTCTTGACAAATTTTGGCTGACTTAGATGGGTCTGTAGGGTATATCAACCACCCCATTCCCATGAAGTACTCTTCAGTGGTGGGGTTCCTACAACCATCTATGCTTACAGCAACCACTTCAACATTTGAATGCTTTTTCCTAATATTCTTTTCATACCATGCAGCCAGTTTATTGGCAAAATATTTCCGCGTCTCTCTGTATAGATAAACAATGACAATCTTGTTCTCAAGCTTTGCTATAGGAACAGATAACCTGAAGTGGGGATGAACACTGGTAGTAAAATATTCACAAGGTAGTAATGAGTTCAATCTCAGACCCATTTTCCTTTCAAATTCCTTCTCGATCACTTTCCTCCTGATGAAGGGATAACCGTCCATGCCAAAGTCACTGAAAACTGGTAATCCATATGGATGTTGTATGAAAAGTAACCCTAGGTGATACTTTTTTGGAAGTACTGGCGACAGTTGAAGTGTGTAAGCAGCGTCGGACAGGCATATAGTGTTGTCAAAGTGAAAAAACCACCAACCTAGCAGCTTTTTTCTTGCCAGAGCATCAATGAGTAACTCCTCATGCAACTTTGGGGGCAACTGCTCATGGAAGGGACAGCTCACCACCACAATCTTAAGCTCATACTTTAGAGATCTACATTTCTCGTGAAGCTCCTGAAGCGCCCGTAAACTTGTTCCATCAGAGTACACGTAAAGCCCCACAAACTTTTGTTTAAGGTCTGAAATAGTAATACGACTATCCTCCCGCAACCTGCTGCCAGCGAGATATTCAATATTGTAGAGAAAATCGGTGTCTCTAAGACCCAAAAGCTCATTGAGGGAGCGATCCTCAAAAACATCATCACGGTCATCAAAATTATTCACACTCTCCAAAGTGAAGGGGAAGCAATCATGCTCAGCTCCTCCAAACATATCAAACACCTCTAGCAGCCAACCATGGTAGAGCACCTCCTGAGATGGATCTAGAATCAAACATTTAATCTCACCATCAAACCCAAGTGCTGAGCAAATGTACTCACGCCGATGAGAGTCTTCAAAAGGGACGGCATGACAGGAAAAGCCCGACAAGAAGTGTTGATAGGCAGAGTAAGAATGAGTGAAACCGCTCCTCATCATTGGCACCACCACAAGCACAAAATCATCTCTTCTCGCGAGTTCATGAGAAGCTAAAGCAGCGTGATAAACCCTGGGCCCGTCTTTTGAAGACCATATTGATGGCACAAACACGCAACAAATCATTACGTATTTACCCATTAGGCTTAGGGTGCTTTCCATGGTAGCATTCACTGTGCCTGTCATTGTGCTAGTGGTAGATGCCAAAACCCCACTGCTGAGACTATTAACACAGCGTCTCAATACAGGGGATTGACCCCTTAGAACATTACTATGACCCTTGCCTGGTATACTCATGCCCGAGTTAGGCATACGCATACCACGATCGTAACCCATATTCAGATCTCGTGAACCCACATAACTTGTGAATTTGGTGGGCAGAGTGCTATGAACGTTTTGGCTACTAGTGCTAAACCTCAAGAGGTTATGCCCTAGCAAATCTAAAACATTCAGGGGTTTGCCTTCCTCAACTTTGGGCACATCTGTGAAGGATTTAGAATAAAAGGGGCATTCGCTGTCAAAATATGAGCCAATTTTATATTCCTTCTTTAGAGGACGCGGGTGAGGGCGTTGGTAATCGCCGCCGACGATGCTGTGGTTGATGTATTTCCGTCGGCACTTGGATAGATTTGGAAACGATATCTTCTCTTCTAACAACTTCCGCATCCGATCTACACAGCACACAAAAATTGAAGCAAATCAAATACACGCAGTAATCAGTTTGAACAAGTAGATAATAATTACTCCATAATTAATCTTTGATGGCTTACCTGATAAAGCTCTCTCCGGCGTCGATCGGCGGCGACGCTTCAAACTTGACTCTTTCTTTGACGTCGACTGCCGGCAACGCTTCAAACTCAACGGATTTCCCAACTCCATTTTTTCCCACCTCAAGGTGGCACCAAAAACCCTAGCCCAACCCCTCCCTCTGACCAACACTCTCTATTCCCCTCTAAGCGAACATATTAACTTAAATACTCCCTACTATTTGGTTTTTTTTGGGTTTTGACCACAATAATTTTGTTTGTTCAATTAAGCCCAATGTGGTTTTAAAAAAAAATATTAAAGCCCATTATAATTATATTTTCATCCAATTTTTTTATGTTAAACTTTTTAAAAAGGAATCACCCAAAATGAAGTAAAATATAGCTTTTACATTTAAATAGAAGTTTCATATTTTTTTTACAAAATAAAAATTTACATTATGACAATATTAGAATTATATATTGGCATTTTACATTATTTTTTGATATTATGTATTAACATTATTACATTGTAACTTATTTTAAAGATTAAAATCATGAAACTCAAAATATAATTTATCCATGTTGTATTCTTAATTTAATCTTTTTCTCTGCCAATCTTTATAATTCTTTGATTTTTAGTAATATTGACTACATTACTATTGTAGTATTGATGATGAGCATACCAAAAGATTCTAATGATTATCTTTCTTTTGCTCAAACCAAGAAATAAGCTCTTATTTAAAGAACATTTGTCTAATTAATATGTTTATTTTAGGTTTTTATTATTTTATAAATGACGAAAGGTAATCCCTACACTAATTTACTAGGTGTTTCTTTCTGCATATAAATTGGTTAAAATAGCTTATAAACTATTTTTAATTTATAAATTAGTAGATTATGTGTTTTTTATGCTTATAAGTTGACTTATAAAGTATTTAAAATTTAAAAAATAAGTATGTCTTACCTATTTATTTTTAAGAGTTTATTTCTCCATTTTGACAAAGTTACTAACAAAATTATCGCTCCCCTATTATAACATCCCCAGATGACTTATATATTAATACCTCCGTCACATTGTCTTTGTCCAGTTTTGACTTTTGGAACTCATCTAAGCACTTTGACTCATCAAATTCTCTCAATGTGTAAGCCTAAAAATAGTCATATGTGATCTTGTTTGATTCGTTTTAACATATAGATTATTAATATATAATTTTTATAATTTTTTAATATACAATTTACAAGATAAAATGGATTAAAGAAGTGCATTGGATAGTGTGCCAAAAGGTAAGTAGACAAAGACAGTGGGACGGAGGAAGTATTTAAGTTATTTTTTTTACACAAGAATTTTAAACTTATAAGCAGCTTATAAATTAAAAATTGTTTATACGCAATAAATCAATGAACATCATCATTGAGAAACACTCGCATATTCAATCATTACCCTTTGACTTTCACAAAATTTAGGTAACATATCGAAAAATGAAAAATGTATAATGATTTGTTTAGATGGGAGAAAAACTTGGGAGCCAAGTGTTTATCACTCGGGTTGCACTAGGGTAACCCCTTATTTTCGACCCCGTGTTTGACCTCATGGTTTACACAGACACTCACAGTCACAAACAATAAATGTGAGTGCGGCACCGACAATTATTATTTATGCGTGTCTGTGCAAAGCATGAGGTAAAAAAAGAATTAAAAAAAGATCCAACCAATACAAAAATGCCAACAATTCAGAGAGTAAAACATTTCTGAGATCTCAGGCATTAAAAAAACTGACAGCATTATCGCGTGTTCATCACATATTCAATCATGTCCTAAAAAACATTATGTGTGTTACAGGCAAAGAACAAGACCTACCAGGTTGATGTCTCATCTGAAAATGGCTTCTTCAGGGGAAGCAGGGACGATTCCTTTTAGGACATCGCGCAAAGCATAATTATGGCTGTCACATTTGTGGTCCGAGATTATATTGCTGGAAAGCAGTATCCTCTGGAAATGTTCTCCTGGCTCTCTCTTCCAGAGTGTGAAGAATTCCATGGACCAATCACTGTTATTGTTTCTCTTCTCCTCGCTAATATTCCTCTTTAAATAATATACCGCCCCTGGCACAAACAGTTCCTCTTCCTTTTTTACTATAGAAGCACCATTACTGCTTGATGTTGTGGTGGAGGAAGGTGGCGCACTGGTGAATTTCTTTTCTGGGACAACACCTGACCCCACACCCACAAACACACACAGAGTTACATACTGTGTGAATGAATCCTAATGCTTCTATCATGAGTAGGTCTTAATGTACACCGAGAGTGACACCTCTTTTGACAGCAAAGCATTGGCTCACAGGCATTCGCAGACATGATCACAAACACGAGATGTCTGTGAAAATCATTCCTTGGTGTCAAAAGTGATGCCGTCGTTGGTGTAACTAGATCTTCTCGCGTAAACAGTTTAATAAAACTAAAAGAAAAAGTTGGATATGTAGTTTATTGCATATGTGAGAAGGTGGCTCATAGTGTGGAAATTAGAATTTGCCAAACATTCCTTTACACTATGTTTGGTTCAAGGAATTTGTAAGGGAAAAGAAAAGAAAATGGAGTGGAAAACCATTTTTCTTGTTTGGTTGCAGGGAAAAAGAAAGGAAAAGTGGAAGGAAAAGAAAATGAGAAGGCAAAATGTACCAAGTGGAGAGAAAATCAAATTCCTTCCATTTTGGTGAGGAAAATGAGAGAAAACCATTTTCTTTTCCTTTCCTCCCAAAATCCTTGAGCCAAACATAGTGTTAAGGAAAGAAATGTGTGGTTCATATTATTTCTTCTTTTCTTTTTTAAACCACACCTTTTGTTTTCTTAATGTCTGTTGGTAAGACGGGTAGAGTAACACTAAGTTTGGTTCAAGGACTTTGGAAGGAAAAGAAAAGAAAATGATTTTCTCTCATTTTCCTCACCAAAATGGGAGGAATTTGGTTTTCCCTCCACTTAGTACATTTGTCTCCTCTTTTTTTTTCCTTCCACTTTTCCTCTCAAACCAAACATGAAAAACTATTTTCCACTATTTTCTTTTCTTTTCCCTTTCAAATTCCTTGAACCAAACATAGTGTAAGAGAAAATTTTGGTTCAATTTATGGGTGAAGAAGAAAATTTCCCCTCCAAATGGGAAGTAAGAGATCTACAGCCACTAGACAGCAATAACTAAAACAGATACCCATCCATAATATGAACAAAATTAGCTTGGCAAGATCTTTGGCAGCAAACACTAACCAGAGTGTGTTGTTTGGCCTCCAGACTTGGCATAGTCAGCCAGCTTCCGAGCCACATCTTGGATGGAAAAGACAACCTGCTTTGCATTTGTAAACAAATGCACCACACCTTTCCATTCTTCCTTCTCAAATACACTACTCCTGCATCAAATAACAAAGTTGGGGAAAATACACAATTTTTCAGCACACTGACTTGCTTCATTACACATTCAATGGCATTCATTCAATATAGTAAGCCGAAGAAACAGTGGAAAGGTCTAGATTTAAAATAATTAAAAAAACATAAATGGAAAGCCTCGATTAGGGTCAGTTGTGATCGAGGGGTTTGGAGGGAAGACTTTCAACGGATTATTACTTTAATATATTATAACAACAAAAACAGTAAATTCCCACAAAAAGTAGGGACTAGAGAAGGTGGGTGTGTGAGCTCAAAAACATAAACAAAGCTCACACCAACAAAAACAATAATTTAGTTATTGTTGGCCGTGTCCTCTCTAATTCCCACTCGGAAGTAGAGAGGCTAATTTCTAAGAGACCCTCGGCTCAAAAACATAAACAAAGCTCACACCAACAAAATAAAAGCACATATCGACACTAGCCGTTAGACCCAAAGCACATACAAGGTAATGATGCACCAACAAATACTACTCCGTACATACTAAAGCTCAAATGTGTACCCAACTACACTAATCTTAGATCATTCCTATCAAAGGTCATATGCTCGGAGTAAAATGTTTATTTAATGAATAAAGGAAGATTGAATTGTTATATGATCACAGTCACCTATTATGTTAGTCTATCCACTGATAAAATCTGAAGTATACTATGTATATGAAGATGTTGGTTTAGCCACTCTCCATCCAAATTCCAAACTGGTCCTAAATGAAGTGTTTTTTTGCATAAAATCAGTATCCAAGGGATAAAACTTTCTACCGTACAGCCTATAGATAATCTTTCAGAGTAGCCCATAAGAGAAATTAGTGTCCCTAGAGCCTAATCTTTCCTTACCAGTCAGTTTGAATAACTTCATTTCGTAGCCTTGTGAGAGAAGCAACACTAAGCCTAGGAATAATGTCATCCTGCACCAAACAAAAATAACAAACACAGTAAAATCCCACAAAAATAAGGTCTGGGGAGGTGTGTGTAGGCAAACATTCACCCAATGTATTGCAATTCATAAATGTTAAAGAGTGCTCCCACCATTTTCCAATAAAGGCCCATTAAGAAAAGTTGTAGTTTTTAATGTGTTTTTTAAGTTTGTCTTAGCTGCCAAATATACCCCTGTTGGTTTATAAGTACTAAAGTAACACACAAAAACACTATGTCTGTGTGTGTGAGGATACCTTTATCATTTCACTATGTTTTACGAAGTACTTAATTCTGTTGCTAACTGACCACTCAGTCATGAAAAAAATGTATTTAATTGATGGACACTCTTAGAAGAATGGAAGGAGTATGCATGGGGTTAACAAATTTTACTGGAGGAAGATCTAAGACCATGGGGTTTAGAGAAAAAGATTGCTAACACTCATACAGACCTGCATGACCACGGTTACAACATACTCACAGCACTTTTCAGCAAGATCTCTGGAGACGCAAGGTGGGGTTGCAATTCCAACTGCAGTTACAATATCAGGGTTAAATCCAAGCTCCTGCTGAGACTTCTTACGGAGCATTATCGCCAACAATGATGCTATTGCACCTCCAAGAGAATGACCCACCAGCCTTAACCTAAACCCCTGTATATAGATTAGTCTTAGTAAAACCAACGAAACAACTGTTTGATTAAGTTACAACCCCTAAATCTTGGTAAGGTACGACTCATAAAAGTCATGGAAACCTACTAACTCCCTTTTGCGGTGTCCAATGTTGACCTCTGAAAATCATTATTTACAATTATACTCCCTCCGTACTTAAAAGAACTTACTGTTTTTTTTCCGGATGTCCGAATAAGTTCTCATAAATCTTCACCATACAATTCCACTTTTTCCTAAACAGCGTGAAAAAAGCAAACGAGAATTTCTTGTAGGAACAGAGGTAGTATAAAATAAAAACTTCTCTTCCATTGTATTACTACGTAACAGTTAACACATACATATGATCTGTTTGTGCATGTATACGTATATATTTTGGATCAATGGGATAAATGGGGAGGGGGAGGAGTCGATCATGGATTCATGGGTGAGGAGGGAGATAAGGTGCTCCAACCACTGGAGCTGTGGAGCACCCCCACCTCCTCTATATGTACATGTATATTATACAGACCCACACAAACAAAAACCATAACATATTACTATTTCAATATTATGTATTAAAACACTTTGTTCAAGAGTATGTTCATATCATAAAGTAATATACTTTATAAAAAATTCAAGCTCAAAGTTAATGAACATTGACTCCAAAAGCAATAACAGAAACTTTTTTGTAATTATTTTCCAAAAAAAATTTATATGAAAAATTTCCTCATTTTATGAACTGGGACTCTCTTTTAGAAACCAAGAAAACTTTTGAAAAAAGATAAGTTTGGGGAGGTCTAGTTTATTAAGAGTGAAAAAAAGTGATATTTGGAAAACCTTGTGTTTCTTTAGGCATTTCCTTAGAGTGTCCATCTCATGAGTAAGAAACCAACGGGCAGCCTCAGCACTCCCGAAGTGTGTTGAATAGCCTTCAAATGTGACCTCTTCATTGCTTGATGAAACAATATCAGTAATTATGTCATAAACAGTATGTGTACCACGGATTCCAAGTATGACGAGTCTTTTTCTCTTGTCAACTGCAATATAATATCCAGGCCTTAGCATGCTTGAGATTTTTATGAATTTCACAATATCGCTTTCTCTAAGCATTGTGTTCCTTGCCAGGCTAGTGGTACTATCTTTGTACGCACCCTTTGCTAGTTCAGTGTGGTACTTAAGATCATGGACCTATTTAAAAAAACAGAATTAATTTATTGTCGCTTCCCTGTACAAAAGGAAATCTGAGGCACGTACGCTAGATTTTCAGAAAGGAAAAGCATTTGGTAACATTTATTTCAGCCAAATACTTAAGTCAAACCTACTCAAAGCAAATTGTACTACCAAACAGAGCCTAAAATGTTAAGATGGGAAGGAATTTGAAATTACAACTGATTCAGAAGATATCAGTTCACCCTTAATGTCCTCAAGAGTGTTAGTGGATGCTTGCTGGATATATATAAGATAAAGGCCTATGGTAAGATCACTAAGACTCCAGTCTTGAAGACCAAGCTTGCTCCGTTGAATGCTAGCATAGATCTCTGCAAGAGACCTGTTGATAGGTGGGGGTTTGTCTCCATTTCCGTTCCCTGACACACATCCCACCCCCAAATAAAAGTCAGGCATTAAATGATATCAGAAATTTAAAAAAAAAGGCAGCATTTTGGATTGAGAAATGATTGATGAGCATGGTTATAAAGTGATTCAAAATTGATCTTTGACATCTAAAGATGCAAATACAAAGGAAAGCAAAAGCAGACAATCGATTACAACAACAAACCCAGTAAAATCCCACGAAGGTGGGTCTGTGGGCAGTGTGTGTACGCAGACTTTACCCCTGCTTGACAGCAGAGAGCCTGTTTCCAAGAGACCCCCGGCTCGAGCACAATAGTACAGACAAAGAAATCACATTACTACATACTGAACAAGAGCACAAGCAAAAGTCGCGCACATACCAACACTAGCAAGACAATCGACTATTGTTATAAATACAAAGAAGTGCCCACTTAAATTCAAAATTGACTTGTTTTATCAAATTAAACCTGCATTATGTTCACCAATATCACATTTCAAACCTACGGAGCTATAAGCAGGTTAACACCTACTTACATAGTTGAAAAGCGGACTCTAGAGCTTTAGAAAGCCAAACCGGTTCAAATTTCCACTTTTTGCTGGTAAAATTATCGTTCTCAATATTGTAATCACTGCATGTAGGTTCAATATCATCAGCATTCCTGCCTTTAAAAGATTTCGCCGGCACTTGGGATGCTTCGCTCTCTCCTTTGATAACATCACTTCCAATCCTCTTTCTGTTTGACCAGTTTGACTCAAAACGGCTAAGCACACTACTAAGAATCATCTGGTAAGGCTCCCATTTTCTTAGAAACCTAATACCATTATCTGCAAACAATGAAAAACAAAAAGATATGGAGTACAAAGTTAGAAGCCACGCTATTGCACCGTTTCGTAGCCTTATCTGGCTTATTATACTTAATAAAGGTAGAATTTTTAACTCCTAACTTACTAAATTGGTTTGAAGTGAATGTCTCCAAACACCTATCCTTCCAAGAAACCAAAAAAAGCCAACATATTCATTCATTTAAGCAAATTCCATCCAAATAACCCTTACCAAATGGGCTCTATATCAACCAGATAGTATTTTATGTACATTTATAGAAAGGCAAACAGATCCTGTGATCATTGATTAACACCTTACCCGTGCGAAACAAAGAGAGTGATCTACTGGATGTAATCATCTTCCTTCTCTAACTCTACTGTCAAATCCACAGAGTAACCCAAAGAAACTTTATGAATTCCATTCAATTCTGCAACTCCTCCCCCAGTTCAACACTCTAACAAGACGGCAAAGATTGAATGATTTGATTCTACTATCGTGAATTCAAAAGATGGGCCAGAGATTACTAACCAATATTGTTGTTCTTGAAGAGACGGTGGGTGGATCGATTGGTCATCCGGCTTGGTAAACTCATGTCGCATTATTAAGCACACTGCATGTGCAGATTCATAAGCTCTATGCGAATGAATCAAGAAAAAGAGAGGGAAAAACAAAAACTTTCACTTGGGAATTTTGGCAAACATCTGGAAGGTACTGCGGAGGATTTGCTAAGCCCAGAACACCGAATGACATAAGTCTCCAAAATATAAATACTTTTTATAAACTGTTCTCAATTTTAAAAACAATTTGACAAATATTTCTTTTCACCAAATATGACAAAATATTTGGAGTAAATTCTCAAAATATTCCCTTTTAATAAAGTTCCACAGAGTAATTCTCGATAAACAAAAATTACTAACGTGGTCTTTTATGAATAAGTGCTAAAATGATTTTTTTAAATTAAATGGGAGGCTACTAGAAAAAGGGACTCATCCCCACTTAGCTCATGGACTCCATTTCAAAAAATATTTACTTAATAATTATTACTAGTATTTTGGAAAACTACTTACTCGTATTTATAAAGGTGCATTTTGAAAATATACTTTAAACCTAGATTATAGACATAAGCCTGTCTTTAAAAATTATAAAGGTGCATTTCGAGAATATACTTTCAAGCTATGAAAAATAGTTCCCCGTCTTTAAAAATTACTCCGTAATTTTAAATTTGAATTTTCATGATTATTAATGCAACATTTTGGATATTAAAGATTACTACCTCTGTTACAGTGTATTCATCTGCTTTGATTTTTTATCAAACTAGATAAATTTTCGAGTTTAATTGTTCTCAATTTGTATGACATAAGCCCTTTTGACATCAGCGTTAGCAGTTAATGTTTTGAAAAACTTATCTGACAATAGCTTTTGGCGTTAACATTTTCAAAATTAACATATAGTGTTAAAACTTTATGTAAAAAAATAACGCTAATCGAAAACGGTGTTCCTAATAAGACCATATTAGTATAATGAAGTATATTTTTGAAAGTTTTCAATAAGATAAATCTAACAAAATTACTTTAATACTAAAATACATTACAGTTTTTATTTAATTGAAGCTAAAAGTTCACTCAATTTGACTCGAAAAAGTCGAATTTAACAAATGCCTTGGGACAAAGGAAGTACTCTAATCGATGTTACTCTCCATGTCCCGAATTATAAGTTCTTATTTTTTTTTGAATACTCTAAAATATCATATTTTCTATGTTTTGAACCCAACTATATATAAAGAAATGAGTAACAAAAATATGTAAATAAAGAAGATAGAGTTTGAAAAGGAATAGTTTAATCGAAACATCTTAATAAAGAGTATTTTTTAATTGACCCTCACTATTTTACTGCGTTACTTTCTTCGTCACGTAAAATGATTTCACATTTCTTTTTTTATTTGTCCGGAAAAAAGTTTTACATCCCGTTTTTAGAAAAACAATTGTGGTCTTTCACCAACATCACTTTCAACTACATAATTTCATTTTTCTAAATCTTTGGTAAATAAAAATGGAACCTTTTATTGAAACAAGACTAGTGTTTCATCCTATGCAATCAATATGAGCCCAACAACAATTCCAATGGAATTGGGTGCAGGCTAAATTGATGCAGTGGTGTGGACTATGGAAGCATAAAATTTTAGTGTTTTAGAGATCTCAGCATTCCAGCTTAGGTCAGATTCGGATTCAATCAAGTTTTTACCTAGCCAACTTTGGGTTAGTATATTTTAGGTCTTGATCATAAAATTTTTACTATTCAAAATTTGGGATTTGTGAGTCGAATTTTGGATAAGAAAAAACGAGCCAATGAAATTTTTGTCATGTTTAAGAGCATGAGCATATGCTCAACAAGATTAGACTTGGACTCCACCAAACTAGACAAGTTCAATAAGAATTAAGAAAGATTTTGCCAAAAGAGATCTTGTTGTCAAACACCCACATTGTTTTCAGTCTATATGTACCAAGAAAGTTCTCATTTTCACTTCAAGATGGATAATACATGTCATGTCAAAACAACCAAGATATATAGACACTGATAATGATTTCTCCCACACATTAGAGTTTAACCAAGATTGTCCTTAAACAAGATTGTCGTTAGTGTTTCACAAATTGATTATGATTATTATCTCTTGTGGTGTCAAATTTGACGCCATCATCCATGCGATTAGAGTCCCTTGATATTTAAAATGGAGCATTCAGAATTTGCAGGACTCACAATTCAGAAGATACATACATAGTTAAAGTTCTATGAATGATGATATTTATATATTCGTATAACACATGGGAAAGAGTTCAGATTTCAGATTCTCTAAAGTTTACCATTGGACCATATAAAGGCCACCATTTATATCCAAAAACAAAAACAACCAGCTTGTTCTCTTTTGCGAACCTGTTCCAAGACTACATCAAATCTAGGTCGTCTTCATAATCGTAGTCTGGTTCGCTAGAATGTCTCATTCTCTTCGGCTCTCTTGGGCCTCCCCTGCCCCCCTTCCTTGGTTTCCCCCTGCGCATTACCAAGAGACATGTAACTATGTGAGCTCCAAACTAAACCAAACCAACAAAGTAAGTCACACTCAAGAGTAGAAAGTACTCCCTCCGTTTCTCAAAAACGGTTCCTCTTTTGACTTTGGGAAAAAATAAGAAAAGTGTAATTTTAGTTGACTTTCCAATTTTGCCCCTGATGTAATGGGTAAAAGTAAGATGTGATAGTTTAGTTATTAGTGAAAAAGTATGATGTGATAGGTAGGGTATGAAAAAGTAGGGGTAAAAGTAGTTTTTTAATAGAAAAGGGAAGTGTTTTTAAAAAAAAATGAAAGAGGACGGGTTTTAAGAAACGGAGGGAGTAAGTTTCAAAGAGTGCCCCCAACAAACGATGACACGTAGTGTGAGGGGTTTAAAACAACACCTACAACACTCACAATTGAGGATTTGCGAGGCACTAGTTAACCAATATGACAACCGAATACTTACGGTCCATTTGGGGGTACACCTGCACCGTCCCGGCCAACTGCTACTTCTTCAGCCTGAAACAAAAGAAATCAAGATAAAAAATGGGCTTGACGTGCATGTAATAACCACACTTGTTTGGTCTGTTAAGCAATATACTCCATTGGAGTCTAGGGGATCGAGATGTACGCAATCTTATCCCTGTAAAAACAGAGACACCCTTTTGACTTTTCATTGGACCCTAGATGCATTGTTGCATCTATTACCCAAAGTTTCACAGAAAGTAGAAAGCAATGACATTTTAATGTTCCATTTCGATTTAGTCCATTATGTGCTCGAAATTTTGCTCCATTGGCAATGGACGTACTCTAAGTAGGTGAAAAACTATTTGAATTATATTTTGTTTAATAAATTACAAAGAATGTGCAAGTTTGAAATGGTACACCATTTTCTTAGTTTCTTTGAATAAGACTTCAAACACACATTAGAAATCCTACAATAGCTAAGAAAGGTTATGGTACCGGAATTTTTAGTTCCAATTTATAACAAAAAGGGGTTTCAACTATAAAATTCAAATTCATAGTGACATATATGAAAAGATCTGAAATGGTTAACCAGAAACGTATCATAGATACGCCTGGCATCATGCACCCAACAGAGCATATGTTGTAGCTCATGTAAAAACTATGCCATCACTGATATACAGTACACGACATACCGCAGGAGAAGTAACTGAAGATAGGGAGAAAAGCCTATCTTCTGGTTGGAACTTCCTAGACCGTTTTAAGCTGCAAGCAACCAGCCATACAGGGAAGAGACATCACAAAAATGCAGAAAATCAAACATAAACTGTAACCAAATCATAAATCATCCTTAGGAATAAAACAAGATTCAGACCTACGGGCTTATTTAAGAACTTTCTTTGGGAATTTTAGTGTTTGGTAAAGTTTGAAAGTGGAGCGCGATTGGCTTCGTGGCCAATTACAGAATTGATTCTACTCCATTCCATTAAATATACTGGTGAAGAACATGCAACCTCCCCTCCACCGCAGGAAAAATGGAGCACGATTGGCAATGGCAACAGATACTAATTTACTACATCTACAGTCATCTCCCACTGCTGGTTGAAAAGTTTGTTGACTTTTGGTCTAGATGTTGTTGGTTTTATGTTCGAGCTAGGGTCTCTAGGAAACAATCTTTCAACTTTCTAAAAGGATAATGTTTGTGTACACACACCCTCTCCACACCATGATTTCGTAAAATTTTATTGGGTTGTTGGTGATGTTGTTAGTTTTATCACTCTGAATGGGCCCCTCTCCCTTCCTCAAATCTCTATCAAAGCAAGAACATCAGCAAACACTAATCCCATAACCATGTTTAAGCAAGCATTAAGGAACTTGATCTAGTCCACACTCTTTTAGTAGAGTGGGCAACTCAAAAACGTCATTAGATTATTGTACTTACTTCACCAAAACATGCCCCAAAATACTTACCTACATTTAGACCAAACAACATAATGCCCATTTTGTCCATTGTATAGTGTATCCCCAACCTCAAACACATCGCTATCCATTACCAAAACACATGCGAGACGAGACCCAAATATGATGATTTAGAATACTGAACTTGTCCCGAGTTTTCAAGAATCACAATTCACTCTTGGTAATTCAAAGTTCATGCCAAGCGGAAAGTTAATAACCATTGCCCGAGTCAAAGATGGGTAGAAAAGTTTACAGTGTGGTGCTTTTAGAAGACGACAGAAACCCTTCAAAACCTTTCAAAACATTCCCACATTGGCTTGGATCCTGCAAATAACTTGTCTCCATGTCATAGACCTGCAATTCAAACCCTAACATCAACCAAAAAAACGCAAAATAAACAAACAAAAAATCACGAATGCGCAAGCAGCCATTTTAGACCTGCTTTTCAATGTTTTTGAGCTCCTCGTGAAGCTTGGATCGTTTGGACAAGAGCGCAGCGAGCACCGCCGACGGGTTCGAAGGCGCTCGTTTCCCTGAGACGCAATTGTGGTGAAGATTCGCGAAATCGTAACATAGCACTTCCATAGATCGCCATAGACGTGGGAAAAAATCATTATGACGGCGGGTTAACGATTACCTTCGGTGTCCATTCTTGAGTTAGAGAGGCTTGGTCGCCGACTGATCGGAGGTGTGCGCCTCTGTCTACGACGGGAAAACGGGGGACATTTTTGGGCAGGGGTAGGCAAAAAATTCAATTCCTAATGTCTACACACAAACTTGGGAAAAAAAAATTATGTTGGAAAAATTGAAAAAGAAAATCGACTAGGAAAAAATAGAGAAAATATTAAATAAATATTTCACATTTTTATAATTTTATTAAGTATAAAGATAAGAAAAATGTTAAATCATAAATAATTTTTAATTTTATTTTTGATGTAATGAATAAAAATAGATGTGATGAATAGATTATTAGGAAAAAAAATAAAATTATTTTTTTAATAGAAAAATGAAAATATTTTTGGAAGTGAAAAAAACGAAAAATGAATTATTTTTAAGAATATAGGAGTATAGAACTATAATTGATGGGAAAGTACTCCCATCACTTATCGTCTTCTTCGCCCAATACGGATTGCTCTGAAAAGAACTTGCTTTATTCACTGAACAAACGGTAATTCCTACAAGGCGCAGACCCCCCCGGCGAACGAAACCACATCTATATATTCTCCCGATCGCACCATCATATTCCTCCGTTTTCTTACAACCATGGCTACAGCGTCAGGTAATTCTGTCCCCCATGTTGCTCTAATCCCTGTATCCGTCTTCCTCTTCACTTTGACACCTCGATGCCACCGGACGGCGTTTCGGATTATGTTTTTTTTCTTTGATCGATTGGAAAAACTGAGTTTTACCTCGCTTTCATTTTAGGGTTTCTGTTGTATGCTTAAAATTAGGTCTTGTTAAGGATAGTTGGGTGAATCCGCTCTTGTTTTCCAGACCAAGATCTGAATTTTGTTTTGTAGTTGATTGATGGGAAGAATTGATTTTCACCTCGCTTTGTTCTAGAGTATTGCTACTGTGCATACGTATGTAGAATTAGGTTTTGTTATGTATGATTGTGTGAACCTGTTCTTTTTGTCCTGATCGCGATCTGTTTGAGGGTTATGTTTTGTGGTTGATTGATGGGAAGCATTGTTTATTTACCTTAACTTTATTCTAGGTTACTTGAAATATACACAAATATGTATTTTGTAGAATTATGCTTCTTTATTGATCATACAGTGACCCGTTTGTTTTATCCTCATCAAGACCTGGTTGCAACTCTTGTTTTGTGGTTGATTGTTTGAAAGCATTTGCATTTTTCCTCAGTTTTATTTTCACTACATTTGGTTCGGGGTATTTAATTAGGATAAGAGAATGCTAAGAAAAAGAGACCCCAAAGAAAACAAAAAGTCTAATCTTGTTTGGGTAGTAGAGAAATTGGTGATGAAATTACTTTTCCATGATTTCTTTGTTTAGTTGTAAAGAAAGAAAGCAAAGCAAAGGAAACCTGTTACTCTGTAGCTTATTTGGTTCATATTTCTAGGCAAGAAATAAAATATAAAGCTTTATAATTTTCAACAATCAGTAATGAATTATCATGTAAATCACCACCACCATGCCCAGTCCCCCACCCACACCATCACCCATTATAATTATCCTGTAATAGATTACTAAAACTGTTGGGGAAATGCAGTGGCATTCAAATCTAGGGAGGACCATAGGAAACAGTTGGAATTGGAAGAGGCACGAAAGGCCGGGCTTGCACCAGCTGAGGTTGATGAAGATGGAAATGAAATTAACCCTCACATTCCGCAGTATATGTCTTCAGCACCTTGGTATCTCAATGCGGAGAAACCTGTACGTTTTCGATTACCATTTGTTACTTAATATATACTAGAGCTCTCCTGTTCCTCCTGGTTATATGCATTCCTTGTGATGGATTGATTTTCATTAGCATGCATTTTTAAATGTCTTATAGAGCTTAAAGCATCAAAGGAAATGGAAATCCGATCCCAATTATACCACATCATGGTATGACAGGGGTGCCAAGATATATCAGGCTGACAAATACAGAAAAGGTGCATGTGAGAAGTAAGTTGGGCCACAAGATCTTTCATTTTTGTTTCTCTTCAATCCCATAATTTTCGATTTTTTTTCCTACTTCGTTTTTGGCTTTCCATTATTTTTACTATGAATGATTCTGTTCAATGCATCCTGCAGTTGTGGAGCAATGACACACAATGCAAAAGCGTGTATGGAAAGGCCTCGTAAATTAGGAGCAAAGTGGACAGGGAAACATATTGCACCAGATGAGAAAATAGAAAACTTTGAGCTAGATTACGATGGTAAAAGGGACCGATGGAATGGATTTGATGCTGCTGCTTATATTCATGTTATTGAAAGGTACGAAGCTAGGGATGAAGCTAGAAAGAAATATATGAAGGAACAACAACTTAAGAAGTTGGAGAAAAACAATAATGAAAACAAGGAAGGTGATGAAAGCTATGATGAAGACTTGGAAGACCCTCTGAAGGTAGATGAAACAAAGGTGGACGAAAGTAAGCAGATGGATTTTGCAAAGGTTGAGAAGCGTGTACGGACAACAGGTGGTGGTAGCACGGGGACTGTTAGGTGAGTCTTTTTATGTTTCAAGTTACAATCATTTCCTGAGGTGCATCTTCTATATTAAAATGCTCACTATTTGACACTCATCATGTTTTGTTTTTCCTTTGTTTTCCCTCCAGAAATCTACGTATCCGAGAAGATACAGCGAAATATCTTCTTAACCTTGATGTTAATTCTGCCCATTATGACCCTAAAACGCGATCAATGCGTGAAGACCCCCTCCCTGATATGGATCCAAATGAGAAGTTCTACGCTGTATGTTTTGCTTAACTTGATCCTTCTTTTATTAAATACCCCCCCACCCCCACTTAAAAAAACCCAAAAAAGTAGTCCGAGTATGGTATGATGTATATGCTTTAACAAATTATGCACGGTGACATGCACTCCTAAAACTTTCAAAGATTGTTTTGCGGTATTTGATTAAAATACTCCGTATGTTGTTGCTTGGCTTTACATGAAGTTTACTTAAAAAACAGAAGTTGAAACTCGACCCTTTTTTGGGACAATGACGTTCTTATGGACACATTTATTGGATGTCAGAGTTCTATAAATAAAAAAGAGATGTGCTTCTATTCAAAATTTTATTTGTGGTTTTGCTGTGTTATAGGGGGATAACCAGAATAGATTGAGTGGTCAAGCTCTGGAGTTCAAGCAGCTCAATATTCATGCTTGGGAGTCATTTGAGAAGGGTCATGACATCCATATGCAAGCAGCTCCCTCACAAGCTGAATTGCTTTATAAAAATTTTAAGATCAATAAGGAGAAAATGGAATTCCAAACCAAGGACGCTATCAAGGAGAAGTATGGCAATGCAGCTAGTGAGGAAACACTCCCTAGAGAACTTTTGTTGGGTCAAAGTGAGAAGGAAGTTGAATATGATCGAGCTGGTAGGATTGTGAAGGGCCAGGTAATTTTTAAAAACAATTTTTTATTGCCGGGTCGGGATAAATTGAAAATTTCTGTTGTAGCTTTATTGTTGCAGCAGTTGTTGCCTTTAAAGGGTTATTGATCATATTCCAGTCTAAACCAGATATAGTTACTGTTGTTGACTTTTGTCTGGCAGGAAATATCACTTCCAAGGAGCAAATATGAAGAGGACATTTTCATCA